ATAGACCGAGAAGAGAGACCTAGACTAAAATGAGAGACATAGACCGAGAAAAGAAGTTAGGGGCCAGGAGAGAGAGAGAGAGAGAGAGAGAGAGAGAGAGAGAGAGAGAAAAAGAGAAAGAGAGAGAGAGGTAGAGACGTATGAGCGGCATGACAGCTACATGACAATGACGACGGTCGCCGTGCCGACGTCGTCGTTGTGTCGTCGATGTCGCGGCGTGCAGGCGACGCAGCGACCGCCGCTCTGAGTGCGGCCACGTATCGGCAATCAATGTCCGCATGTTTTCTCTCGCCAGTTGCGTAAAAGCCACAGCTGTTTGCGAGTTTTCAAAAAGTGAACGATACGGCTCGCCGCCGCCGCCGCCGCCGCCGCGAGCCGTCGATTGGTGTCTCCGCGAGCGTGAAATTCACGCCACAAAAAAATGCACTTATTCGGCGCGTCGCCTGCCCCGATGTAGCGGCGGCGGCGGCGGCGCGCGAATTGTAAAAATCGCCATCTAGTTTCTCCCGCTTATTACAACTGCATTACATGGTAGCTAATAATCTTTAAATTAAACAGTTCCAGGTCGGGTCGACGCATCAAACGACAGTAGGGCCTACTCTCAACGCAAATTATATTCCTGAATTATTACGCGGTTGGGGGTTTTGAGATGGCTACGTGCAGTAATATAAAAACCGGGTCATTAGATGTTTTGCCAAAAAGGGCGGATGCGTGTGTCGAGGGTGTTGACTTTTTCTTTTAAAACAACTGTAAAATAACGCTATTGCGTAAAATAAAATATGCGTATGTTACTGTAATTCGACCACGATAGATAAACAGGAAAAATAACAATCGTTCGCAATAGTTTTTATAATGTAAATGTAATTATTTTCGCAAGTGCCAATTAGTGAGACTAAGGGCGCGTTTGTTTGGGACGAATCCGTCTGATCGAGATCATATGATCCTGATCCGACCAAACAAACGCAAAACTCACTTTCACCGGTTCACGTTTCGCTGTGACCTATCACGGGATGGTTTATAACAAAGAACAAGCTGTGATTGGCTGAGGCGCGGGCCGCCATATTGGATCCCGTTCGAATCCCGTTCGGTGGATCGAGATCAAGTGATCCGACCAAACAAACAGTCAGATCAACGAATCCATCGGATCGAGATCCGTGGATCCGACCAAACAAACGCGCCCTAAGACTTGTGCATTAGTCATGCCTCGGCGTGTTGCTCTTTCCCGCAGTAAGATCCCGCACGCTACCGCCCCTAGTTCACTACACAGCATGACGCGACGTCGAAAACCATCTGAAACATTTTTCATGGTAATGCGCATTTCCACCCATTTCGGTATATGCAACCAGCCGGCATCGGCGACTCTAGAGACCAGCCACAGAGGTTCGCTAAAATTCGGGCTGGCCGCGTCTCCACGCCTTCTCGAGTATCCACGCGGCGCGCGCGCGCGCGCGTGTGTGTGTGTGTTTGTCTGTGTGTGTGTGTGTGTGTGTGTGTGCGTGTGTGTGCGTGCTCGCGCGCGCGCGTGTGTATATGTGTGTGTGCGTGCGCACGCACGCGTGTGTGTGTGTTTGTGTGTGTGTGTGTTTGTGTGTGTGTGTGTGTGTGTGTGTGTGTGTGTGTGTGTGTGTGTGTGTGTGTGTGTTGT